AGGCGTGTAGTTTAGTGTAGGTACAAAAAAGTGTTATGTAATATTAAACTTCATTTCTTCACAGGCATCTCTTCCTAGCAAGAGCAACAGTTCCACCAATCGTGCGTTATAATCCAGCAGATGGGTCTGTAATAGAGCTCAATTACGATGGCGCAGCACAGTCACTTTCCGTTGATGAATTCAATAACGTGGTTTATTGGGCAAACTTCGATGGAATAGATCACCATGTCATGAAAACTCTGCTTAATAATAAACAAACAACTGGCTTAAACATCACATACTCAGGAGAAATTGACTTGACCTCCGACGTACACAATTTGTATGTCTTGGACAAAGACAATAACCGTATCGACAAATATTTGAAAGCATCGCTCCAGAAAGAAGGGAATATCACACACAGTGCGAAAATACACGACTTAATAATTTCATATGGTAAGTTTTTTTGTTCAAGTAGAAAATAACAGCCACTTTAACTTATCAATTGGTAGAAACACTTTGCCTCTTTGAAGAGCGTACGTCACAACAGCCCTTTATTCAGTGCAACTCATTCAACTGAAAAACTTGGATTACATGCTCGCTTCAGACTCTTGAAAGCGTACTCTGAAGTTGTGGTGGCATTCATGTATTTCTATATTCGGCTTTCGTTAAATCAACATGCATGGTTGATCATTACGATGGATGGCCATGGAAGAGCATTACCATGCATGGAACTACGCTAGGATGTCACGCCAATCGCAATTACAATAGGTATCCTGTTCAAAATCTATTATCCAGCGCAGGATAAGGCAAGCTCGAGAGCTTTTAGTTTACAGCAAGGATTTTTTATCAAAAATCTCTTTGAATACAATTTAAAATCAACGCAATTTAAATGTAATTATCATAACTTGAAAATGATGCACGTTTTAGCATCGAAACGTCGTTCAATAAAGATAATATCGCTATCATTTGTGTCAAAATAGCAAGGATTTTGTTCCATAAAATCAAAAGCTTTCTTGTAGTAAGAAATTCAAATCTCACTTTTGCCTGAGTTCTTTCAGCAGATTCACAGGCATGTGATCTGATAAGCTAAGGGGAGGCCGTTAATTGAATAGGTACTTTGTATCAAAAATTGATAAATGTGTTCAGGTTTGTCAGCCTGAGGTTCTCAGGCCATGAGTTGGAAATTTCAGAATTTGCTCGAGAGAGAAGTTATTTCTCTGTATTATTAACTGGCTAAAGTCACTGGCACAATTTAACAATTAATAAAGCACGATTCAATTACCAAGGGCATAAGTGAAGGTATTGCAGAAACTGATTTTTAACACTTGGTGGATGGTAAACATTTCAATAGACAACAACGGAAATATATCCCCTTGGGAGTCGCGTGGGCCGTAACTTTATCCACAGAACTTTGTGATTTTGATCGTGCAGGTCTAAGACGACGACTTTTATGTTACTTTCATCCAACGTACAAATACCAACATGTTCAATTCTAACATTTTCTCGCTGCAGGAGAATAAATTATAGCCTTCGATACGCGATAATATCATTGTAACTCTTATTTTAGGCATTGTTTTTGTAAATAGAGTATGCAAATCAGGTCCATCTCGCCATCACTTCAAAATGGCGAATTTCATTTATCTTTGGGGCAAAACACATAACATTATGACGAATGTAGGAAAGCCGATAAAGTGCCCTGTTCTTTAGCAGTCGTGTCTACGAGTATCTGAACGCAATTACCCAAGTTACAGAGTCGTTTTTGTCTCTGTAAATCAAGTTCCGGTCAAAAGTACGGCGTAGAATGACTTCAATTAGACATCGATTGGCGTTGCATGCATGTAAGTTTCGCTCACGAACAGCAATAGTGGCAATTTCGGTATAATGAAACCTTAAGACGGTTTACAAGAAAACATATATTTTATAAAAGCGAAGAGGCGGGTAAAATAGTCCCGCCATGCTACACTTAATACATAATTTTTCAGTCTACCAAAACGAAGACCAAGCGCGGATGAAATTGGCAAGCTAGGTAGCCATTTTAGTCGTGTCGTGCAAATACATTGGGTGTAGCGCGTAGTGTCTATGGTAGGACGGTATAGTATGCCACAACGTAAGGAAAGCCTGATTCCTCTGTTCGAACAGTAATAGTTGGTGATTTATTAAACATTTGTCAATTATTTTTACAGACGTAGATGAATGTTGTGTCGGAGGATTTTGTCATGACAACGCAACCTGCACAAACACGCTGGGAAGTCATTTCTGCACATGCAAGGAAGGCTATACTGGGAATGGAACAAGTTGTGAAGGTTTTTATTTAAGACTAAAAGTAGATTATTATATCAAACTGCTTCATATCATTTATTTCTTCAGTTTCTTTCGCAAATTGAATAAGTTTGAATGAGTTACAGCTTGTCTAATGAAATAACGATCATAAGCTAGGGAGCGTCACGTTTAATTAGAAATGCCTAAAAGAAGTGAGATTCGACAACGTGGTCGTGTAGTCACATTTTTTTTGTAAAAAGCAACATAGAAAATTATTGTTGACTGACACAACATTGTTTCCCCCAGTCCCAAAAAATAAAACAGGAAACTGAAAAGTCTTCCACAGGTGAAAATCACTGAGGGTAAATTTGGATATCAATGTCAAGGAATAGAAATTTAAAATGTAAAAATATCACACAAGAGATCGTGAAAGAAATTTTAAATTGTGGTACACATTTACTACTCTCAATTAGACGTCACCAAAAAAGGAAAAATTAAATTCAAATAAAAAACCAATTTAGATATCGACGAATGTGAAATCGACTTGCCATGTCACTCCAATGCTACGTGCAATAACACAGATGGATCATATATCTGCACATGTGATCTCGGCTATAGCGGAAATGGATTCAACTGTACCGGTAAGGTTGTGAAACTTAGGAGTAGTTTTCAATAGGCAGGAATGGTTTTATAAATGGAAGATTGCAAACCTTCCATTGATGGATTCCACATCATCCCATATCTGAGTATACTGAAGATGGATTTAATTTCACCAGTCGGATTAAGAGAATGAGATAAGTTTTCATAAGAGCAAGAAAGGATAGGGAACAATTAATGACGAAATTGCATTCCTTCGTTTTAGATATCAACGAATGCGTAACATCTCCCCCATGTCATTCCAATGCTACGTGCAACAACACAGAGGGATCTTTCACCTGCACATGTGATTCTGGATATACAGGAGACGGGTTTAATTGCACTGGTAGGAATACATGAATATATTTTTATTTTTAAACAAGCAAGAAAGCTTCGATAAAAAGTCCTCTTTTCAGATGTTGATGAATGCGTAGTATCTCCCCCATGTCATTCCAATGCTACGTGCAATAACACAGATGGATCTTATATTTGCACATGTGATTCTGGATATACTGGAGGTGGATTTAATTGCACAGGTAAGACAATGAAAATAAAATTTTTTCCTAATATTTCATTAAAAAACAGTAAATGGAAAAAGGAAAATGCTACAACTGCCATTTCAGATGTTGACGAATGCGTAGTATCTCCCCCATGTCATTCCAATGCTACGTGCAATAACACAGATGGATCTTATTTCTGCACATGTAATACTGGATACACTGGAGATGGATTTAACTGCACAGGTAAGACAACAAAAATAAAGTTTTTACCAAATGTTTCAGTAAAAAATTGTAAATAGAAAAATAAAAACGTTACAACTGCCATTTCAGATGTTGAAGAATGTGTAGTATCTCCCCCATGTCATTCCAATGCTACGTGCAATAACACAGATGGATCTTATATTTGCACGTGTAATTCTGGATATAGTGGAGATGGATTCAACTGCACGGGTAAGAAAACGGAAATAATATTTCTGCCAAGTGTTGAGTAAAAAAGAGGAAATGGAAAAATTAAACTGATAAAAAAAAAACATTTCAGATGTTGACGAATGCGTAACATCCCCCCCGTGTCATTCCAATGCTACGTGCAATAACACAGATGGATCTTATATTTGCACATGTGATGCTGGATATACTGGAGATGGATTTAATTGCACAGGTTTTCTACATTGGAAATATTTTTTTAACATATGATTGAGTAAAAAACAGTAAATAGAAAAATGAATATGCTGCAACTACCATTTCAGATGTTGACGAATGCGTAGTATCTCCCCCATGTCATTCCAATGCTACGTGCAATAACACAGATGGATCTTATATTTGCACGTGTGATTCTGGATATACTGGAGATGGATTTAATTGCACAGGTAAGACAACGAAAATAAAATTTTTACCTAATGTTTGATTAATAAAACAGTAAATGGAAAAAGGAAAATGCAACAACTGCCATTTCAGATGTTGACGAATGCGTAGTATCTCCGCCATGTCATTCCAATGCTACGTGCAATAACACAGATGGATCTTATATCTGCACATGTAATTCTGGGTATATTGGAGATGGATTTAACTGCACAGGTAAGACAACAAAAATAAAGTTTTAACCAAATATTTCGGTAAAAACAATAAATAGAAAAATGTTAACGCTAAAAATGCCATTTCAGATGTTGACGAATGCATAACATCTCCCCCATGTCATTCCAAAGCTACGTGCAATAACACAGATGGATCTTATTTTTGTACGTGTGATTCTGGATATACTGGAGATGGATTCAACTGCACGGGTAAGAAAATGGAAATAATACTTCTGCCAAGTGTTGAGTAAAAAAGAAAAATGGAAAAATAAAAATGATAAAAAAAACATTTCAGATGTTGACGAATGCGTAGTATTTCCCCCATGTCATTCCAATGCTACGTGCAATAACACAGATGGATCTTATATTTGCACATGTGATTCTGGATATACTGGAGGTGGATTTTACTGCACAGGTAAGGTTACAAATAATTTTAAATATAGGCAACAGAAAAGGAGAAATGAAAACTAAAACCTTCTTTTTAGATATAAACGAATGCGTAATATCTCCCCCATGTCATTCCAATGCTACGTGTAATAACACAGATGGATCTTATATCTGCACCTGTGATTCTGGATATACTGGAGATGGATTTAACTGCACAGGTAAGACAACAAAAATAGTGACTCATATTAAATAAGCAAATATGCCTCAATAAAAAATTCCCAATTTTCAGATATCAACGAATGCGTAACATCTTCCCCATGTCATTCCAATGCTACGTGCAATAACACAGGTGGTTCCTACATCTGCACATGTGATTCTGGATATCGTGGAGATGGATTTAACTGCAATGGTATGGTAACATATTTGGCCTTAGATACGCAAGAATGGAATTATGTAATAAATGAAAATATTGCAAAATTTTTAGATATAAATGAATGCCAAACAGATTTCCCATGTCATTCCAATGCGACTTGCAATAACACAGATGGTTCTTACATTTGCACATGTGATTCTGGTTATAGTGGCGATGGGTTTAATTGTACTGGTAAGATACATGAAAACATTAATGATATTCAACATATCATAAAGCAGAGACCATTGATCGATAAACTAGATAAAAACTTTAATTTCAGATATAAATGAATGCCAAACATATCACCTTTGTCATTACAATGCTACGTGCAATAACACAGATGGCTCTTACATTTGCACATGTGATTCTGGTTATGGTGGCGATGGATTTAATTGTACTGGTAGGGTACATGGATGATATTCAACAAAAGATAAACAAGAAATAAACGCTAAACAAATATTTACAAACTTTTATTTCAGATGTTGACGAATGCATAACATCTCCCCCATGTCATTCCAATGCTACGTGCAATAACACAGATGGATTTTATATTTGCACATGTGATTCTGGATATACTGGAGATGGGTTCAATTGCACGGGTAAGTCAACGTGAATAATATTTCTGTCAAGTGTTGAGTAAAAAGACAGAATGGAAAAATAAAAATGCTAAAAATGCCATTTCAGATGTTGACGAATGCATAACATCTCCGCCATGTCATTCCAATGCTACGTGCAATAACACAGATGGATCTTATATCTGCACATGTGATTCTGGATATAGCGGAGATGGGTTTAGATGTACTGGTAGGAATACACCAATTATAATCATTTAAAATATTAAAGATGATGTAAAGTCCGTTCTGAGCATATATTCTGCGCATAACAATGTTTGTTTACGTTGGTTATATAATCTTTACATGACGTATGCGTCGTTATAATTTTCTTATTTTCTTCTCGCTCGACCGGCTGTAATCTGTGATGAATATGCTTATTTTACATCATATTTTGAAGAGGATATTGTTATATTTTGATATAAATATAAAGCGAAGCTTGTAAATAAACCGGCCGTTATTTAAAACGTTATATATTTGTAATTGTAGGACTGACTAGGACAAGCGAGAAGGTAGCGTCTGTAGCGACGACAAATAGCCCCGCCATCTATTACGGTCCTCATTCAACAAGTAAATTCTTGGAGCATTCTTTTCAGCATATTATTGCCTTTTTCTAGCAGCCTTATGATAAGATAAGTTATCTTCGTCACTCGCAATTCGAGCCTCTTCGCCTTGCGACATAAAATAAAATAATTGTGCTCCCGAACTGCCGTTTGTAATACAACGCGCTAATATCGCATATCATTAACATTCCAAAAGTTGCTCCCCCACTGATGGAATGTGTTGATGCGCGGAATATATGCGCAGAACGGACTTTACCTCATCTTTAAGCAACAAAATCTGGATACAACGAATTGCATTAGATATCAATGAATGCCACACAAATTTCTCATGGCATTTCAATGCCACTTTCAATAACATATATGGATCCTTTGTTTGAAAATTACCTTTCTTATGGAGTTTCTGTCGCATTGTGGAAATAGTATGATTTTTATTTCTATAGATATCAATGAGTGCCAAATTGATACCTGTGGCACCAACTCAAACTGCACAAATAGTGATGGTTCGTTTACATGCACTTGTCATGTGGGCTTCGAAAGCAATGGTATTTTCTGTACAGGTACGTCATTTAAGTTTTAATCCCATCATAACAAAAACAACTTTAAGTCCGATATATATAAACTACCTAAAATAGACGAAAGAGGTCTGACGTAGTGACGTTACGACCTCAGGGTCTCAAAATTTCATATTTAGCCAAATATTCGTTTTGACTGAGGTATTATTGTTACACGGAGTTTGAAACTAAATTATATCATACCAACATCATATTTTTTGCGCCGTCACCAGAAAGGTCTATTTGAATTATTGGAATCTAAATTCTTCAAATTAGCCATTAAGATTTAATATGACTGTTGCATCTATAATGCTCACTATAAGACGGGAAGAATTATAATGTTTAATCAAAATAGAGTACGTATTTTAAATGTGGGAACTTGTGCCTATTATAGATATCAACGAATGTGAACGGGATGCTCCGTGTCATGCAAATGCAACTTGCATAAACGTGGAAGGATCATACTACTGCACTTGCAAAACAAACTACAGCGGAGATGGCTTCTTTTGTGAAGGTTGTATATACTCTGATAAAGTGAGCTCTGTTTAATTTAGTCTGGAACCATTACCGATCGTCAACAGCGCTGACGTAAACAATAAAAACTTGGCACTGGATTTTCAGGCTGCTTTCAATTGGCTTTAAAATGACGGTTGAGTTGTCAGTCGTTCCAGTGCACATAAAACTTGACTACGTCGTACATTATATTATGTCTTACACGTTGAAAATACGGCCTGTCCTGAGATATTACCACATGTTTAAGCAAACAGCATGTAGTATACCTTCAATTCAACTCATGTTTTTTATTTCTATCACTATATAGCTCTGGTTTGCACAGTGGATGCCCTATACTATGCAACAACCAGTGCTATCAAAGGCGTGTTCTCCGACGGTAGCACGACTGTGACCATATTATCAGCAACCAACGTGAAACTAAATTATGATTCTGGCACCAAAAGGCTCATCTACTACGATGGTAGCAAACTCATCACAGTTAAACTGGATGGGAGTGATCCGATCACAATCAGAGGATCTCTGACGACTCTTGACCGGTTTACTGTGGATCATATAAAGAGAAAGGTTTACTTCATTACTAATCTTTTCAGGAAAGTGAGAATCGTTGACTTGGATACTGGAAATTTAACTGATCTAAATCCAACCGACATTGTCAATGCCGATGATTTGGACAGTGATCCAATTAACAGGTACATATATCTTATCTCTAAGTGGAAACAACAGAAAATCTTAGGGAAAATAAAAACAATTGACTTTAAATTGTAAACTGATTTCCTATGTGCCCATTTTCTATGCGCCTATTGTTGCCCCAACGATAAGATTGTTAGCAGATGGTATAACAATACCTGGACGTAACAAATCTGAGTGTGGAATTAGTACCATCATTTAGTACTTCGAGACGACCCGTGGAGATAAGCAATTATTGATAATATAACTTATACTCTGTTTGACTTTAAACAAGGCAAATAGGTCAAATGACCGCCTATTCTGACAATTCACTATCTAGTGACCATAGAAAAATTATTTATTTCAGCTCCCTTGTATTTGCTGGCGCCACCAGTCGGGATATTGTTCGCTATTTCCTTGAAAACGATGCACAGAAAGTCATTTACCACAACAATACATCGCCCAAATATCTGACTGTTGATTCTCAGAATGATGTTATATATTGGATCAATTATATTAGCGTTAGTGATAGCTATTCTCTCATGAAAACATACTTTAATGGCTCAACTTCAGAAGTCAAGTTCTACCCTGGTACAACAAGTTCAGTAAACGTTGCTAAAGGGAAAGATAATTTCTATGTAATGGATAGCACAAGGAAACGTATAGATGTGTTTGACAGACGCACTGCTATTTTTCAAGATTCATTTTTCCTCAGTGATTCACCGCAAGAGCTAACTGTCGTTGAAGGTAAGTTCGTGTACCACTAACGTTTGAAGTTTTTCCATAATTATCAATCTGCAGATCTAACAGTATTTGCTCGTCGGCAAGTATTTAATGTGACTTAAAATTTGGAATGATATTTAGTCATGTAAATCAGGGGCGGCGGAAAACGTTTGCAGGGAGCGGGGATATTTGCATATTCATGTTTGAAGACCGTAAAAGCAATCAATTTTAAACGTAATAATGCTGAACGTGAATACAGTATTTTAATTCCCGCACTTCCGCGCTCCCTGATGTAGATGATGGTATGTACTTGCATGCCCAGGTATTTGTGGTAAACTTTATAATGCATGGTAACAATGGTTTTTTACTACACGCGAAAAATACTTTCAAGAATTCCATCTTGTACGAGATTATGTATCTAACATGTTAAAAATTAATGTGACTTCATATTCGTGCAGATATAGATGAATGTTGTATTGGTGGATATTGTCATGATAACGCAACGTGTACAAACACACCAGGAAGTTATTTCTGCACATGCAAGCCAGGATTTGTTGGGAATAACACACATTGTGAAGGTATTCATATTATCAAAGGCGATACAAAGCATGCTTTATACTAGGAAGATATCTGGATACTTTTCAAAATGGAACGTATGATGAATTTCGGAGAGGATATTTAAATTGCGAAGTGCATGCAGAGAAACTGTAGTGATATATGACCTGGTTATACATAATTGTCTAATACTAATATCCCATTATTACAGGAAGTTCTGAACCGTATTCGCCCAATCTATTGTAAACACATAAATGACATAAATAGATAAAAAAATAATAGTGAAACATTCATTATACGACAAATTTAGAGGCCAATGAATGCCAAAAAAATTCACCATGCCATCCTAATGCGGCGTGCAACTACACAGACGGATCATTCATCTGCTCATGTAAATACGGATATAGTGGAGATGGAATTAACTGCACTGGTAGGGCAACCTAAGTTAAATATTTCTGGATTTCAAAGAAGAATGGAAAGCATTGAAATATATTTAAAATCACTATTTCATCCCGTCAGATTTGGACGACCAAAAATATTTCGATGTAATTTCAATTTGACCTGCAAGCATAAAAATGAATCTTGTAATATTGCGTAAAATTCAAATTGCGAAGGAATGTGAATTCTATAATGAAAATTTTAACACTTCTTTCTTAATTAATTATTTCAGATGTCAACGAATGTAGCGCAGATTCACATAATTGCCATTATAATGCCTTTTGTAACAATACTGACGGTTCTTTTAATTGTACGTGCAAAGACGGCTACTTCGGGAATGGAACAGACTGCCAAGGTTAGCGTATGTAGATATTGCATGTTCCTAGCAGCGTAGCCAGCCATTGAATTCTAGGTAACTGGGACGCTAACTTATGACAAACATTCTTATAATTATAAGCTTAAAGCCAAAATAGTTTTTCTGAGTTATCAGTTATGAGCTGAAATACTTGACGCCAGATGTTGGGCTGTGTGTCAAATTAAAGCTATTGAAAAGTTCTATTTGGTTTAGAAATTTCAAAACTTTGAAGAATTTCAAGACAACAAAGAAAATATATATAAAAAAGCGTTATAGTTTCAGTTTGTTTACAGTTCAATGAGCCAGCCCGACAATTATATCCTGGTATGCTCAGTAATATTTTGGCGTTCGCATTCATTGCCTGTGAAAATTTTCACAGCACGCGAGACTAAATCGTCTGGTTGGTTGGCTATACACCACTGCTTAACACGGCTTTAGGCCTGGGATATACGTCGCGTTTTGGTCGCGTCGAATGCAATTCAAACAATAGATAATGAGATGATAAACCTCACAACAAGGGCGGATCTGGAATTTTGGCTGACTGATGGGATGTTTTGAACCATACTTCCACATCTCTATGGGGTCTAAATTTAACAATAATTATTAGTCACAGAAAGCGAGGTGATTACAAGCATATATCCCAAAAAACGGTATTCTCGACCGTGGTTGAATATACGGTATGGTATACTCGACCATGGTCGAATATTCCGAAATATGGTATACTCAACCATGGTCGAATATACCGAAAAGCGGTATGGTATATACTCGACCATGGTCGAATGGTATGACCGAAGTAGATACTAAAAATAATTATGCTATACTCGACCATGATCGAATGGTATGACCGAAGTATGTGCTAGATATGGTATACTCGACCATGGTCGATTCTAGCGAAAAATGGTATACGCCAATTTCGTATTTAATTTTTTGTGTTTGTGAAATTTTGACTAACGCAATCGCACGAGGCGCATCAGTCTGGATCAGCCTCATTAAGCTTCATTATTATTTCATCATCTATTTTTGAATTGCATTCGTTGAGACCAAAATGCGACGCGTACGTTTAACCTAGGCCTAAAAAGCATAGATTTATACAAATGTAATACAGATATTCGCAATCACATTTACAATGCCTTCTGTAACAATACTGATGGCGTGATCATTTGCCTTTCTCGCATAATGAATATGTCGCCATTTTGACCGTAAACCTTGTACACCGGTAGTATTTTTAAGGTAAAATAGATTGTGCACATTTTCCGTTGTCCTTAAAAAAATGCTTTTCATATTGTTACAAAATCCATCTATAAAACATGAGATCACCCCAAAAAATGACAGGTATTCACCATCGCGAGAAAGGAAACAGTGATACAAAACAAGATTTGAATTTTTTCGAAAAATTTTTTTTTAATTACAAAACAAATTTCAACTTTTCTTTAAATATTTCAGATGTCAACGAATGTAATACAACGACTCACAATTGCCATCACAATGCCTACTGTAACAATACTGATGGGTTTTTCAATTGTACATGCAAAAAAGGCTACTCAGGAAACGGAACGGATTGTCAAGGTCAGATATTGTACTGTAATATGTTATATTTGCATTGTTCCGTTATAAAAGACAGAATAATTTTTATACTTTCTTACGTACTGTACGAATTCAATACAAATTTGTACTATATATTCCAAAAAATTCTTTCAGATGTCAATGAATGTAATACAGGAACTCACAATTGCCATTACAATGGCTACTGCAACAACACTGATGGTTCTTTCAAATGTACATGTAAAAAAGGCTACTTGGGAAATGGAACAGTCTGCCAAGGTTACTGCTTACATTACAACTATTTTAGGTAGTTTATAGTAATTTAATTTATCGTTTTTTTTTTAAATTCTGCGATATTTTTTTATAGTTTACAAAAGAGGAGAAGTTGAATATATTTTCTTATCAAATGGTACTCATATTACGTATATTCCTGTTGATGGCGGAGACCCCAAGATCTTTGCGCGCGTAGAACACACAGCCTTTGCTTACGACGAGCTTAGGTACCGCCTTTGGTTTGCGTGTGGTGATAGCGTGTGTAACGCGAATTTGGATGGAAGTGATTTAATAACTAATACGGTTCCATCACGTCTTGGTCCATTTGCTCTTGATGCAGCGAATCGACGTATTTTCTATCTTAACTATTCTGATCATCACCTCAAGTCGATTGATTATGATGGGAACAGTTTACCAGATATTGGTGTGTCACCAAATAATAATTTCACGGATTTGCATGTCGACATTCACAATAGGTAGGATGACTATTCGATAAGATGCCCCCATGGCCTATTTGGAAGGGGCGAAGCGGACGCTGACGCTCTGATTAAATTTCCCCCGTATTTTGTAAATACACTGCATTAATACAAAAGAATTTTAGCATTATTTTGGTGGAGGAAAATGTCCCAAGGGTTTAGGAGCCTTTAGGAGCCGAAGAGAGAAATATCTATGAGAAAACAAATGGTATGACTTCGTCTTTAACGTGCTTCCAATCACTTTTTAACACCAGGGTACCGGTCCCCCTATGAAAAGAAAAGTTAATTTGCGCTGCGCCGCTGGTATAGGCACTTTACTTTTATGTTCTAGTTAGTTAGTATATACTCTAAATGTTCCAACTCACAGAATATCCTCCAAGAAAATTCTTATATTATTTAGCATCCTGAAATTAGTATAAATTCCAAGTTTGGCTGGAAAATGTTAAGTAGTACGGAAAATATAGCCATGCGATTTTAGCAATTTTGTATACTTTTATACTGTGTCCGAAAGCGTGTAACTACATTAGTTACACGCTTTCGGCCGTATAAAAAATTAAGTATACAAAATTACCAACTTCGCATGGTTATATTTTCTGCACTTTACAATATTTCGCAATTCGCAGCCAAACTTGGAAATCAACTCTTAGGAGGTTCCATTTTTGTTGCCTAAATCAAAAGATGGTCTATTATGCAAAAGGCCCATTAAACAATATTTTCCAGTTATTTTTCGGATAAAGTTCGGTTAAAGTAACGTTTGTCTAAATTTGTGTGTATATATATATATATATATATAATATATAATATATTATATATATATTATATATATATATATATATATATATACAGTCGTTATCAAAAAGGTTGTCCCTATCAATATATATACAAATATATAAATATCAATCACGTGAGCATTAAACATTGTTTATTTCGCTCATTTTTGTCTTGTTTCTTTATTATTATCAATATTGTTAAACCTCACTATTATATTTATGAAATTTTTAATAAAGATTTTCACGGATTTCCCATAAAATTAACGTATGCAGTAAAATCACGTGACTGATATTTACGTATTAATATATATTTTAATATGACAACCTTTTTAATAACGACTGTATAAAATATATATATTATAATATATATATATAATATATATATATATATATATATATATTTAAAAATTTGTAATCCAGGCATAATTGTTTATTTGTCAACCAATCAGACGCTCTCAACGTATACAGAGTCTTAAAGAACAGCGCGAAACTTAAATATATAAAGCTATATACACATGTAAATAATTTAGATATTCTGAAGAAGACTCGAAGTACCGAGTCGAAAGCTCAATAAAAAAAATTTTAAATCCGGAGAACATTCATTGATAAACAAATATATATATATATATATATATATATATATATATATATAATATATATATATATTATATAATATATATATATATATGGAATTTCTTAACATATATTATATTTTTACACCTAGATTTATATTCTTCACCGCTAAGAACAATCTTATCCGGTACAGTCTTGACGATGGAACTAATCGAACTCTTCACGCAGGTTTATCTGGAAAAGTCACTCATCTCATGCTGGATACCGCGAATAAAGCTGTGTACTTTATTTTGTTTATAAATCCAGTCCAATACTTTTTACTCAAAACAACGTACGATGGTCTGACTACACATACTGTTGCACTAGGTTTCAATGATGGATATGCTGGTGTAGACATTGCGGAGGGAAATGAATATTATTATCTCCTTCACAGAAGGTCTCAAATTATAAAATTTGACAAATCATCAGATTCTGTAGTTTCTACGATTCCACTAACTACTAATGCCGATCGAATACTCATTGCATTTGGTAAGTGATCGTTCACTTTTTCAGTTTTTCTTCGGACAGCGATTAAAATATTATTCCTAAATATTATAAACAATGGAAAAAACTATTTTATATTATTTTTACTTCCCTGTATGTATTATGCCCGTATCACGAAAATTGTCCACCAACCTGATTGCCTTTTGACTTTCATTCAACCGATTACTGCATATCATTGGAACTTTTAATGTGTTCTGATTTAAAATCACTTGCGAACTGAAATCTCAGTCTTTATTAGGAGATTTAGCATGAGAACGTGAAAGTCATAGACGACGTGAAAATGGGGAATAAATGGCGTGGCTTGTCCATACAATTCATAGGCAACATCACGCCAGTTATTCGCCATTTCCACGTCTTCTTTGACATTCACGTCCTGGTGCTAAATCTCCTCATTTTGCAGGCGACAGCTGTGAAACAAAAGTAAAATAAAAGTTAAACTAGGGTTATGAAGGTTTAGATTAAGGGTTAATATTGTGTGTGTGTGTTTTTCTCTGGGATATTAGATTGATTATATAAGATGTCATTAGAATATGAGAGTATCTGCACGTCTACGTACAAAAACAGACAGTGCATGGAGTATGTTCTAAGGAATGTGACGAGAACGTCAAAGGCTACATGAGAATGACGAATGGCGTCCATAAATTGGTGTGTCACGCCATTTATTCGCCATTTTCATGTTGTTTTGACTATTATCACTGGTGGAAAACTTACATAAATTAACTGTGGGGCCCGAGGAATGATCAAAAAGCGAAATCCGTGTGTTTTTTCTCGATTGCAAATGGTAGTGGAAGCAAACCAGAATGCGTTAATGCACCTGCGAGTACAAAATAATATAAATTTTAATTATAAACAATTATCATCCCCGAGCCGGCGAGGAACACCGTGCAAGAGTACTAATTCCGCTGGGAGATTTATTACACCCGGGTGTTTTGACCGAACATAGCGGAGCCCAAATTTGTCTAAGTTCTATATCATGGACGGTCAACTGAGATAAAAATTTTGTTTGGCTAAGATAAAAATTTTGTATTTCAGTTAGAACGTGGGCAATTTAACTGTGATTTTGCGAATTATTTTGTAAAAATATACTTAATTTTTAAGCGTTTCACTTACTCTGAGAGTCAATAAACTTCCTGTTAAATGCTGCGGGAAAACGAGTGATGTTTACTTCATTTTCGTTTAATTTTATCACTTTTCTGACTATATTTGTTTCCGAAAATTAAAAATATCAGCGACTCATTCGAGTCATGCCATAATATAAGATTAGGACTGGCTAGCTTAGGAAATTATTTTCTTCTTTTTTAATAAATCGTATTATTAATTATTAATATTCATATTATTAATTACGTACAATAAGAGTCAAAATTATAAATGTGGCTACATTTTACATTCTTGATTCTTTCTTAATGTGTGGTACCTTTTTAGACGAAGACCATTGTGCTTTAAATAACACCTGTCCTGCAGACTTGATATGTACAAATTCCCCTGGCACCGCTGTATGTTCATGTGAGGCAGGATTCACTCGAAATCAGACGTATTGCCAAGGTAAGAAATTTGGATTGATGATACTTAAATAATAGAAGGAAAGTTTTAATTTGCGAGCACAAATCAAGTACTCAAATAACACTTGTTTGCTTGAATCCACTCCTGCTGGTATAAATAGAAGCATTTCAAAAAAAATGAAATAAGCTTCCGGTTTTATACAGGGTGTTTAAGAAAGTAATTCAGCTTCCGAAATCGTATTATAATATTTGTACAAAATCTTTTTAAAGTGTTATATTATAAACATCTATCAGTCTTACCTATATAAGTATACCTAAACGCCCGAGACAAGTCACGTCATAAACTACTCTGCTTTCTTAAAGACGCGACTCTCTTAGCACACTAATTCTGCTGTACGTAACATATTCATAACTGTGAAAATCTACAACACATAGTAAGTCTACACCTTGCCATTGACAATCTTTATAATAATCTAACACCGACGAATAATGACGTCTCTACTTTTATTTCAAACCTAATTATTAACAATTCCTGAACACTTCACACTACTAACTCACGAATATCGTGTATTTTTCTCATATTGCTTGAAGCACAATATCAAATATCGTTTACCTAAGCTAAATTCTGGTCTCAAGGCAAGAAAAGAACTCCAGCTTTTCTCGTAATTCTACACCCATATCATCACACCTCTCACTGCCAAACTGCCTTGGTCGTTTGATTGAGATTTGATATTATGTCACGGATTACCGATTGTATAATATAAGACCTTATTTATATATTGTAACTTCAGTTAGTCTGATGATTATTTTTGTAATAAAATCAAAATATCACGAATTAATTCTTTGTCTTATTTTAACCTATATTTTGGGTTTCAATATATTAATCTTCGGATTTTGTTTTGTTTTGTATTTCCTCTTCGCCCTGGGGTCTTTTTAGCGCATGGGAAAATCAGTACTGTTCAATTCCCAACACAATTTTTGTCGACTTTATTTTTTCCATGAAATTTCAAGCATCAAATTTCAACCGAAGTCCGAAGAGCCATAAAATCCTAACCCCCCATCCTTAACCCTCCAACGCCTTTAATTAAATTTAATAACCTGTATTTTGCGAAATCGTCAGTTTAATTATCAGGCAAATTAGACGAACGTTATTTTACAAGAATATTATTGTCAAGTTACAAAGGAGAAAAATGTTATAACTAAATTTTATACATGCATGCGCAGAGCGGACTTTTTAAGTGAACGGCTAATAATTGTTTTCATATTATTCTTTATTTCCGCAGACATAAATGAATGTTTAAATGACCCATGCCGTTACAATGAAGTCTGTAAAAATACTAATGGTTCATATATTTGTGAATGTAAAGCAGGATATGAAAAAAATGGAACGAATTGTACAGGTAAAACGTGTTTACACTTGTGTTTAAATACTTATATTATGCATAAATTGTGAAAACTAAAAATAGTCAGTATAAAAATAGGATTTTAGAAAAATATCACCCAACATGATAAAGGATCGGAGATATAGGATAGCTATAGGAGGCTATAGCTAAAAATGTTCCATAACGTACGAGTGGTACATCTGCCAGTGTTGCTGTGCCCTGTTTTTTATATCAACATGGATATTTTCTTGAACTTACATTTTAGTGCTTTACATTATAGCTTTAAGCTTAGCTGCACTGTTTTTGCTGCGCCTACCAGTCTCAGCAAGGGTCTTGTTATATTATATAAACATGCACTTAACTGATTTTTTAAAGTAAAAAGGCTAATAATTATTTTCCTTTTTTTTCTTGCCCAGACACAGATGAATGTTTGAATGACCCATGCGGCTTCAATGAAATCTGTGCAAATACTAATGGTTCGTACATTTGTGAATGTAAAGCAGGATATCAAGGAAATGGAACAACAAATTGTACAGGTAAAAAGTGTGCGAAACAACGCTTGTGTTTACTTATATTATGCATGAGGTTGTTAAAACAGAAAACGGGGAATAGGGTTTGAAAAACTCACTTAAAAATTTATTCATCTTTCCACAACCACGCATGGGCAAGCTTAAATGCGGTGTTATGGTGAACTTGTGGCCTATGAACGCCCAACGCAATGCTCATTTGTATTTGATTAAGTATGCAATATGCAAGAACGCCTTTCCTGCAATCTGATTGGCTGTAGAAGTGGGCGGATTTTTACGGTGCCTGTTTTCTAAAGATTTATTCGCGAACGTTTGGCTTTTTTATTTTATAATAATATATGGACCAAATGATTATCACGATAAATTGAAGTGAAATTTAGTAAATTAACCAGTTCAGGTTTTGATTGTTTATGTTTTTGTCGCCATTGGCATTGCTGAGCTGACTACAAAACGAATGCAGCTTTTTGTAAAATGATAAATACGTTATTTACTCGCTCGGTCTGAAAAAACGTCGTTTTTGAAACCTCGGGAAAATATTTTTTATCCGGACCTCGCAGCCGGTAAATAACATATATGTTATACATATTTTTTTGTTAGGTTTAAGGGCTGTTCACATGTGCCCGCGGTTACCGAGATTTAACGAAAATTTAACTTTGAGATATTGAAATAAGTCTTTCTCAAACAGGACAATGACATGTTATTGTTTGGATGACACGACTACCAGAATCGTGTTATTTACTTATTTCAATACCTCAAAGTCTATTAATTTTTATGCTTCGTTAAATCTCGCGCGGTAACCGGGCTCATGTGAACAGCCCCTAAGTGTAAATTGCATGAAAGGACAGAAAAACCGACTAGTTAGCGCAGTCCCGCACATTAAAGTTTTAAAAGAATTGTGAAGTGATGTAAATGGTAAAGAAGTACAGTAGATCATTGGTAATGCAAGTGTGTTTGAATGAGTTCGGTTCGCGCCCTTTCTCGAACATGGTAAAACGACATACAATTCGCTATCATCGGATTTGGCTACGAATTAAGGTAAACGAAGTAGTGCTCTCGCAAAATTTGTCCGTCGTTAGTGGTGAACTACAAGGCGTTGTTTGGCAAACACTTGATTGAAGAAATTCCGTGGAACTGACGTGAAGGGGAACATGCATAAAATCAAAAGGAAAAACAAGCGATTGAGTACACGTCAGCCAAAATTAAAATAATGTTCTGAATAAACAATGTTTGATCCCTCTCTGGTTTATCGACTCAGACCTAAAGGTTCTGCTGTTAATCTTCCCCCTTCCTCCCTGAATGATAAGGATGTTAAAAAAACCGTAATGAAAGTAAATAAATTTTCAAGGCGGTACCAATTATGCTGACAAATTCAATCCAGGAATTGACATTTGTTATGCTTTGGCTATCAAGGACTTATTCATTCCTCTAAAGCCATAATTTATACTGTGATGCAAAAAAAGTTCGGTAAATGGCTTCATCTGTGAAATGTCGTTTTCAAACGTAGAATGAAAGAAGATAATCTGTTCTAATTGGTCCTAACTTCCCAGAAAACGTGTTCCACCCAAAGAGAAGAAAAAAACGCGTACGAATTCTTTGCTATATATGGCAAACTGATTGTGTTCTTATTGTTGAACTGCCTGATGAGTGATGAGAAAGACAATATTTTTTAAAGTGACTCCAGAAAACAATACAGACAATAATAATTATCTTGAACAAAATTTCCGCACAATATCCGTAAATCACTTAAATGCTGTGGCGGATCCAGAGTAGGGCTGAATAAATTACAGTTCTAACTTGCAATCACATTGAAAATTGAAAATTGAAAATTTATGTAAAAATATTCTTTAAAAATTTTAAATCAATAGCGTTGCTATTAACGTATTTTGAAATTAAATGACATTAAACCTCAGCCAATACCTTGATCCGCAACAAACATCAGTAGGCTTATGTTATAAATAATTAATAGCTCTAACTTTGAACGCCAAATGTTTTGAAGTAAATATGACTTGAAAATATTTTGTTGTTGATGTTTTGAGACCTTTTATAGCATTTTTTATTTCTCTTTTTACATGCAGAAAAGGCTACTCAGGAAATGGAACAGACTGCCAAGGTTCAATTTAACGATTGTGAATTCTCATGAAGGCTCAATATTTGAAAGAAATTCTTTGAATGGCAATTGCACAAACTTTAGCAAATTATCTTTTAAACCTTCGTTTTTTTATTCTTTCAGATATCGACGAGTGTGGTGCAGGTTCTCATAATTGCCATTACAATGGCTATTGCAACAATACTGACGGCTCTTTCAATTGTACATGTAAAAACGGCTACTTGGGAAATGGAACATTCTGTGAAGGTTAAGCTTAAATAATATATGATATATAATATATTTTTGATCAAGAAGTTTGAAAGAAATTCACTTTCAATCTTTTGTTTTTGAAATTTTGAGTTAGATAGGAAAGCGATGTTTTAGTTGTAAATTTGCAACGTAAGGTGTTAATTTAAAATATTTTTCGAAAAGGAATATAATAAAGTCACAATAGCAGAATAATTCATTACTGCTGTTAAATTGTCGTTTCAGATGTCGACGAATGTAATACAAGAACTCATAATTGTCATCGCAATGCCTACTGTAACAATACTGAAGGCTTTTTTAATTGTACATGCAAACAGGGCTATTCAGGAAATGGAACAAATTGCCAAGGTCAGCCATCAATATTGCGTATATCTATATTTCACGATTCTGACTCAACGTGACTGATATTTTCATTTTCAAAGGAAATTTTAATTGTATTGTTTAGTTATCACAAAGAGACGGAAGGAATACTTTCCCATAGATTTATAATGTAATGCATTATTGCCTCAACAATTGCCACTATTATGCCTACTGTAAGAACTCGGAGATTTCTTTCCTGGCAAAAATCAGATTTGCGAAGGAAATGTGAATTGTGTAATGCTAAATCATTATTAAACTTTTTCATTAATTATTTCTTTCAGATGTCAACGAATGTAGTGCAGATTCTCATAATTGCAATTTCAATGCGTTTTGTAACAATACTGACGGTTCTTTCAATTGTACATGCAAAGATGGTTACTTTGGAAATGGGAGAGTCTGCCAAGGTTAGGCGTAAATTAATACACAACGAGTTTCTCTAACCAGAGATGCCTAATCTTTTGTTGTTGAAATTTTGGACAGATAGGAAACACATGCTTTTGTCATCGCCCTTGTGGTGTTAATTTACAACATTTGTGTCATGTTAATTTTTAATCATAATAAAAATATAAAATATTTTTACACTTTATTACTATCATTTTTAGATGTCAACGAATGCATTATAGGAACTCACAATTGCCATCAAAATGCTTACTGCGACAATACTGACGGGTATTTTAATTGTACATGCAAACAAGGCTACTCAGGAAATGGAACACACTGTAAAGGTTAGCCGTCAATATTGCCTATTTCTATTTCATGATTCTTACCACACGTGACTGAAATTTTCTTCTTCAAAGCAAATTTCAATTGTACTGTTTAGTTATCACAAAGAGACGGAAGGAATACTTTCTCATAGATTTATAATGCGATACATGGTCTCACAATTGCCACTAGCTATTATACCTACTGTAAAATTAATGTTAATTGTGTGAATTGTGTAATGCTAAAAAAATTTGCACCCTTTCTACACTTTTATTTTTACACATTGTTTTAAACGGATAAAAAATCCAGGCATATTCGCGGGGGGTGGTTGTCAATTTGTAATTTAGCCCCATGCTTTTCCACATGCTAAACGGTCCCTACGGCGCTGGCGAGTGTTTTTAATGTTCAGTTTGAAATTGTTTAATTTTGATATACTGTAGTTTATATTAATATTGTTTATTGAAATCGTATGGAAATTGAAAGCACCCCCAAAATGGCGGATATTCTCCATGAGAAGGAAAGCCAATCATGTGCTCATGTAATTCGATTAGCCAGATAAATCATTGACTAGCACATTTGAAATACATGATGAAAAACATTATAATTTTGTTTCAGATGTAAATGAATGTGAAACTGATTCACCATGTCACTCGAATGCGACATGCAACAACACAGATGGATCTTACATTTGCACGTGTGACTCTGGATATAGTGGAAATGGATTAACCTGCTCTGGTAAGGCAACTGAATTACTTGGGTTTTCAGTAGCGTCGTTTTAGATAAAAAGTAAATGCGGAAAAGTCCCTCCATGTTACTCCAATGATACATGGAATAACGCAGAAAGACCTCGGTCGTCTGTACAAGCGTATGATTCCGGATCTAGCGGAGATCGAGTAATTTGAGACATTTGCCTTTAGATTTTAACTGCGCAAAAACCTTGAAGAAAGGAATATATTTCACATTAGAGAGTTTTAGTTTGACGTTTTCTCTTCAACCGCGAACCGCAAACCGCGGCTTGACGTTAAAATTTTGCCGTTTGACGTTTGCGGTTCACGTTTTCAACCGCCTGAGGTGTATTTTCACGTAGCTCATTTACCTCAGCGAATTGTCATTGCAATAGTGTCTCGTTTCACGTTTAAACACTTCTAGTAGACATATTGGATATCGAAATTTTCTTTGTGTTAATTTTCCAGCCTGTTTTCAATAAGTTTACCAGTTTTCTTTAATTAAGAAAGCGACTACCACTATTCAATAACACGACTGGCAATATGGCGGTTTACCATGATATCGTATTTCGATAGTCGCTTATTAAAATTGAGGTTCCTTTCAACCCAGGTGTATAAATAACATTTGATTTAAAAAAACCGAAGCATTAGAAATAGCTAAAAGCAATTTAACAGCGAAACTGTTTACTGAATGCCAATGTTGAATCGTTCGAACATAAGGTGTAGGTAAATGACCGCGAACTAAAAGTCAAATTCGTGACAACGGCAACGTGAAACCGCTAACGTGAAACCGCGGTTTGCGGTTTGCCGTAAACGTCAAACTAAAACTCCCTATTGTCGTTAATTATTTCTTTCAGATATCGACGAATGTAGTGAAGGTTCTCATAATTGCCATTACAATGGCTACTGTAGCAATACAGACGGTTCTTTCAATTGTACATGTAAAAACGGCTACTGGGGAAATGGAACAGACTGCCAAGGTTAGAAATAAAAATAATCGGTCGCTCTAATTTTCAACAGCTAACATTGATTTGCCGAAAGTTTTGGTTTCATTCTTTTGTGAGAGTGAGGAAACCGATGTTTTAGTAGTCTAAATTTGCAAATAGGGCGTTAATTTAAAATATTTGCGAAATGGGAGGTCGAGTTGCAATGACAGAATATTTTATACCTTTTGTTTAATTGCCTTTTTTCAGATGTCAACGAATGTAACACAAGGACCCACAATTGCCATCACAATGCCTACTGTAACAATACTGATGGGTATTTCAATTGTACATGCAGAAAAGGCTACTCAGGAAATGGAACAGACTGCCAAGGTCAGCTGTTGATTTTGTATATTTCAATTTCACGATTGTGAATTCTCATGATGGCTCAAAATTTCAAAGAAATTGCACTGTTATGTTACCAAAGACAAAATATTTTTATATTTTTTCTTAGATTTTTGCGAATGTAATACATAGTTTAACTAATGCCACTATGATGCAAGAATCTTGAGGTCTTTTCCTTGGCACTTGCAAAAAATCGGAATTGCGAAGGAAATTTTATAAATAAAACGTGATTTTTTATAACATTGTGTTTTCATTTTTCTTAGATATCGACGATTGCCGTGCCGAATCTCATAATTGCAATTACAATGCTTTTTGTAACAATACTGATGGTTCTTTCAATTGTACATGTAAAAATGGCTACGTTGGAAATGGAACAGACTGTCACGGTTAGGCTTAAATATTACACAATGAATTTCTCTAACCTGGCATAGCGTATATATTTTCAGGAAATATGAATCGCTTTCTTTTGTTGTTGAAATTTTGAGAGAAGAAACCGATGCCTTGGTCATCGCTAATGTGGTGTTAATTTACAACATTTGTGTAATGTTAGTTTTTTATCAAAATCAAAATATCAAATATTTCACACTTTATTATTGCCCTTTTTAGATGTCAACGAATGTAATACAACGACTCACAATTGTCATTACAATGCCTATTGTAACAATACTGATGGGTTTTTCATTTGTACTTGCAAAAAAGGCTATTCTGGAAATGGAACAGACTGCCGAGGTTAGCCGTTCATGTTGTATACCCTATTGTATGATTTAAACTTCTCATGCACGACCTAAGAATGAAAGGAAAATTTGCATTGGAAAGGCAGAATATTTTCTGTACGTTCTTATATAGATTTAAACATCTAAAACATGGTCTAACAATAGACCTTTATCATAATGACGTCAAACGCGGAACGTCTGATGTTACACGTACATATGATATTTGTCTTGTGGAGCCAGTCAAATTTCGTGTAACATCCAGAATTTGCGTTTGCCTTCATTATAAGAAAGGTCTATTGCTAATACACATAATGCCTACTGTAAGAATTTTGAGATTCTTTGAATGGAAATATCACAAAATCAAACTTTAACAAATTATCTTTTAAACCCTCGTTTTTTTATTCTTTCAGATATCGACGAATGTCGTGAAGGTTCTCATAATTGCCATTACAATGGCTATTGCAACAATACTGACGGCTCTTTCAATTGTACATGTACTTGGGAGGCTACTGGGAAATGAACATACTGTGAAGGTTAAGCTTAAATCATATTATTCAATATATATAATAATTTATAGCTCTGTCTTTGAACGGCAGGAATTTTGAAAGAAATTCACTTTCAATCTTTTGTTTCTGAAATTTTGAGTTAGATAGGAAAGCGATGTTTGTAGCGTAAGGTGTTAATTTAAAATATTTTTTAATAGAATGTAAAGTCACAATGGCAGAATAATTCATTACTGCTGTTTAATTGTCGTTTCAGATGTCGACGAAAACACAAGAAACTCATAATTGTCATCGCAATGCCTACTGTATAAACTGAAGGCTTTTATTATTGTACATGCAAACAAGGCTATTCAGGAAATGGAACAAATTGCCACGGTCAGCCATCAATATTGCGTATATCTATTTCATGATTCTGACCCCACGTGCTGAAATTTTCATTTTCAAGGGAAATTTCAATTGAATTGTTTTAGTTATCACAAAGAGACGGAAGGAATACTTCTCATAGATTTATAATGTTATGCATGGTCTCACAATTGCCACTATTATGCCTACTGTAAGAACTCGGAGATTTCTTTCCTGGCAAAAATCAAAATTGCGAAGGAAATGTGAATTGTGTAATGCCAAAACGTTACTACACTTTTTCATTAAGATTTCTTTCAGATGTCAACGAATGTAGTGCAGGTTCTCATAATTGCAATTTCAATGCATTTTGTAACAATAATGACGGTTCTTTCAATTGTACATGCAAAAATGGTTACTTTGGAAATGGGAGAGACTGCCAAGGTTAGGCGTAAATTAATACACAACGAGTTTCTCTAACGATAGATGCCTAATATTTATCAGGAGATATATATGAAATCCTTTGTTGTTGAAATTTTGGACAGATAGGAAACTCATGCTTTTATCATCGCCATTGTGGTGTTAATTTACAACATTTGTGTAATTTTAATTTTTAATCATAATCAAAATATCAAATATTTTTATATATATCAAATATCATATATTTTCATATACTTTATTATTGTCATTTTTAGATGTCAACGAATGCATTATAGGAACTCACAATTGCCATCAAAATGCCTACTGCAACAATACTGATGGGTATTTTAATTGTACATGCAAACAAGGCTACTCAGGAAATGGAACAGACTGCCAAGGTTAGCCGTCAATATTGCTTATTTCTATTTCATGATTCTTACCACACGTGACTGAAATTTTCTTTTTCAAAGCAAATTTCAATTGTACTGTTTCGTTATCACAAAGAGACGGAAGGAATACTTTCTCATAGATTTATGATGTGATACATGGTCTCACAATTGCCACTAGCTATTATGCCCACTGTAAAATTGTTAAATTTTAATGTTAATTGTGTGAATTGTGTAATGCCAAAAAAAATTTACAGCCTTTCTACACTTTCATTTTTACACATTGTTTTAAAGAGATAAAAAATCCGGGCATATTCGCGGAGGGTGGTTGTCAAGTTGTAATTTAGCCCCATGCTTTTCAACACACTTAATGGTCCCTACGACGCTGGCGAGTGTTTTTAATGTTCAGTTTGAAATTGTTTAATGTTGATATACTGTAGATTATATTAATATTGTTTTTAATGTTCCGTTTGAAATTGTTTAATGTTGATATACTGTAGATTATATTAATATTGTTTAATGTAATGTTCCATTTTGTTATACTATTATTATTGAAATCGTATGGAAATTCACCACTTGTACCGTGGGCGCCACGTGTACTTGGCACGTGATCAAAAATGTAAACAATCGCAAAAGTTCGGACTACGGGTCACGCAAACTCTCACGCGATAGTATAGAAGTATAATGTAATGCAATGTATATAATTATTTATTCAAAGGATTATATATACGAACATGCCTGTGTAGTGGAAAGTATTTTTTGGATCATCTACCAACGCCATAAACAACTGCCTTCGTAACCGCTTAATATTTTTCAGTTCAGAGTCTTTGTACAGCGAAATGTCGGTCAAATCAATATCAGTCTACATAACAAAAATATGTGCGAGTATTGAGTCACTTTGACATAAATTGTAATCCATGTAAAATGAAATCCAGCTGAGTGCTGAGAATTTAATACGTGTATTTTTTAGTACACCTTTGTGACAAATTGCATGTACGCAGTGTACAACAAACCTGTGTACATGTACTGTTATGTTTCACTGTACTTTTCGGCGGAGAACAACCCGAGTTAAATGCATTAAGTTCTTTGTTATTTGTTCTTTGTTTGTCATTAAGTTCATTAAGTTCACTATTAATAGTGTCTTCATTTGCATCAATCGCGTCGACTTTTTCCACGCTCAAATTTAATAAACTTTCGGCAAGAGATAATTCTTCCGAAGATCTCGCTGTGCTCGACGACAAATTAAGAAGTGCCTCAGCAACCTCTCAAAAGCGCGTTGTTTTCTCTTGGTAGGGCTACGTCGTTTCCTTTCAAATCGTTTAGCCTTAACAAAAACACGATTTTTAGTTGGGATGCGTTCATTAATGCATGTCGAAAATCATTACTTAATAATTTAAATAATGCATATTATTACCTTTTCATTGCTCGAGACGGCGGACACAGGATCTGGGTTTTCCTTCGTTGGTCCATTGGTACCGATAAAATGTAAACTACAAATGTAGCTGTCTTTCGTGCAAACGAAATTATCACCTCGGTGACACGCGATTATCCATTTTCTTCTCCTCTCTGCCGATCGTACAATACAAGGAAAATGATAAAATTTAATTGGGTCATTGTTTTTATTTCTCTTATGCAGGTGCGGGTATCTTGAATCATTTTTACATGTTCCCTAAGCGCATCTTTTAGTTGCGACCATAGTCCGAACTTTTGCGTGCAATGTACTAATGTTTTCTATACTATCGCGTGAGAGTTTGCGTGACCCGTAGTCCGAACTTTTGCGATTGTTTACATTTTTGATCACGTGCCAAGTACACGTGGCGCCCACGGTGCAAGTGGTGAATTGAAAGCACTCCAAAAATGACGGATATTCGCCATGAGAAGAAAAGCCAATCATGTGCTTATGTTATTCGATTAGCCAGATAAAGCATTGACTAGCACATTTGAAATAAATGATGAGAAAAATTATAATTTTGTTTCAGATGTAAATGAATGCGAAACTGATTCACCATGTCATTCCAATGCTACGTGCAACAACACAGATGGATCTTACATTTGCACATGTGATTCTGGATTTACTGGAGATGGATTAACTTGCTCTGGTAAGGCAACTGAATTACTTGGGTTTTCAGTAGCGTCGTTTTAGATAAAAAGTAAATGCGGAAAAGATCCTCCATGTTATTCCAATGATACATGGAACAACGCAGAAAGACCTCGGCGGAGTTCGAGTAATTTGAGATATATGCTTTTAGATTTTAATTGCGTAAAAACCTTGAAGAAAGCGATAAATATTCATTCAAACTGAAATTCTAGATGCAAATGAATGCAAAATAGATTTTCCTTGTCATTCTAACGCCACGTGCAATAACACAGACGGATCGTATATCTGCACATGTGATTCTGGATATACAGGAGATGGATTTAACTGCACAGGTAAGACAACGTAAATATTTTAGGGTTTTGCGAAGCACCTTTAAAAATGTATAAAAAATATCACTTCTATTATAATAGAAAACAAAAAAGATTTTCTGTATCTTTTTAACATGAACGGATAATATATTCGCCGAAGCACATGCAAATTAAAATATACTAAAAATTAGGTTAGCTCGCATTGGTAAATAATAGCGGATTTTTGAAACAGGCATCAGTGTAGGCTGATATTACATAAATTATTAAATAATTTGACTTTTTCTATATCACTGGGACCAGCAATAGCACTGACGGATCTTACCTCATTGAAAAAAAATTGGTAATCCTTAATTTTAGATGTTGACGAATGCGTAACATCTCCCCCATGTCATTCCAATGCTACGTGCAATAACACAGATGGATCTTACATATGCATATGTGATTCTGGATATATAGGAGATGGATTTGACTGCATTGGTAAGAATATGTAGCTATACATACATAAATTTTTTGTAAGTGAAATATTTGCTAAATATAGCGTAACATGAATTTTAGATGACGACGAATGCCAAAGAGATTCCCTTTGTGATTCAAATGCATCTTACAACAACACAGAAGGATCATACATTTGCACATGTAATTTCGGATATAGTGGAGATGGATTTAATTGCACAGGTAGGAATATTTTCAAAATTATTCAACTTAAATTAATTTTGATGGCCGGAAATTTATTGTTAGTTCACAAGCTTCGTCGAAGCAATATTAAGTAAATATCTTTTTATAATTACCAAACGATTATTTTAAATCTGAACAAATTGCAAACAGGTTAACATGTAATTATAAAACAGGCGTTATGCTATTATAATAAAGATTCGTCACAACCTAGAAAAACATCATTTTCTTTTTACATGATTTTCTTTTAAAACATGATAATCTTTTCTACAAACGGCCCTAGGATGTAGTGGAGGAGGATTTTTGTGCACTCGTATGACTATACAAATGAATTAGACTCCCAAAACAATGAAAAATATCGAAGAGATTCAAAGAAAGCAATCTTTAATTGTGTTTTTAGATGTAAACGAATGTCTAACCGAATACACATGTCATTCCAATGCTACGTGCAATAACACAGATGGATCTTATATCTGCACATGTGATTCTGGATATACTGGAGATGGATTCAACTGCACTGGTAAACTTGTGTGGATAATTGGTTTTAATATCTGTATGAAGCACAGCCTAAAAGTCGGGTAAATTGTTTTAATTTTCTTCCAAGATGTCAACGAATGCCAGACATCTTCCACATGTGATGCCAATGCTTCGTGCAACAACACATACGGGTCTTACATGTGTACTTGCGATTCTGGATATAGTGGGGATGGATTTACATGCCCTGGTAAGTTTACAAGAACTAAGCTCATTGTAATCGCTTGGAGATTGATTTCGTGAGTATTTTCATTTTTTTCGAAGAATTGCCACATTTGCAAAGCGACGAGTGTAAAAATTACGAATATGTCGAGTGATGTTATTTCGATATTATTTTTACGAGAAATCCTTGCACTTACATTTTAATACTACATGCATGGGCAGAATAATTTTTATATTCCACGGCACAACTATATATTTCACGGCAGACGCAGCGTGTTAGAAACATATCTTTGTATACGTTAATTCGTGTTGTATTGATTATGCCTTTGTATTTACCTGAAGTCAAGGCTTAATGTCGCATATAATTTTCCGAAGTTAGTTTTAAATCACGAATTTTTAATGTTTGGTGATTTGATGTCGTCTATTTCGACGGCAAAAATTCCTAACTGGATTTGGGGTTACCTTTAGTCAAGCGGGCTTTTGCCAAGCAATACAACAAATTCTTCATCCCAGCGATCAATAATTTTGCTCTTTATAATGGCGGTTTACATGCATGTTCTGGAGTCCCAGGGACACTTTACCGTTCGATTTACCGTGATGGAAGAGACTTCATGTCAATATTCTAGCAGCTGAAACGCAAGTACTAGTGTTTATATGGAAAGTTTTAAACTCGCCTTAGCTGGTAGGGACACCACCTTTAGTAATAGAGGTAATGCTAGAGGTGGGGACAATTTTTTCGATGTACACACTTTTTCCTCGATTTATGGTACTTATATGATATCTGTGTACGGATATTCTGATTTGACTGACAAATCACGTCCAAACCCATTATTTTAGATGTAAACGAATGCCAAAAAGATCTTCAATGTCATCCAAATGCTACATGCATTAACACATTTGGATCTTATAACTGTGAATGTTTCTCTGGATATACGGGAGATGGTTTCACCAACTGCACTGGTAAGATTATAGATACAGTTGTATATGGATTTAACATCAAGGAACAATTTATAAATTATTAAGAAAAATTAACTATAAAAATATTTCAGATGTGGATGAATGCCTAACATCTCCCCCATGTCATTCCAATGCTATTTGCAATAACACCGATGGGTCTTATACTTGCACATGTGATTCTGGATATACTGGAGATGGGTTAACCTGCTCTGGTAAGGCGACTGAATTACTTGGGTTTTCAGTAGCGTCGTTTTAGATAAAAAGTAGCCTAAATGCGGAAAATATCATGCATGTTATTCCAATAATATATGGAATAACGATTAACGCAGGAAGACGTCGTCTGTACATCCGTATGATTCTGGGTCAGTCTAGCGGAGATCGAGTAATTTGAGACATATGCTTTTAGATTTTAATTGCGTAAAAACCTTGAAGAAAGCGATTAAAATTCATTCAAACTGAATTTCTAGATGAAAATGAATGCCAAAGAGATTTCCCTTGTCATTCTAACGCCATGTGCAATAACACAGACGGATCTTATATCTGTACATGTGATTCTGGATATACTGGAGATGGATTTAACTGCACAGGTAGGGCAACGTAAATATTTTAGGGTTTTGCGAAGCACACTTGAAAATGTATAAAAGAAATCATTTCCGATATAATCGAAAACAAAACGGATTTGCTGTATCTTTTCAACACGAACGGATTATATATTCGCCGAAGCACGTACAAATTAAAATACAGTATACTTAAAATTGGGTTTGCTTAAATTGGTAAATAATAGCGGATTTTTGAAACATGCATTAGTGTAGGCTGCTATTACATAAATAATTAAATAATTTTTTTGAAATTTATTGTTAGTTGACAAGCTTCGTCGAAGCAATATTAAATAAATAAAGTTACCAAACGATTATTTTAAATCTGAACAAATTCCAAACAGGTTAACATGTAATTATAAGATTAGTCACACCCTAGAAAAACATGATTTTTATTGATATAACCTTTTCTACAAAAAGGCGTAGGATGTAGTGGAGACGGAGTATTGTGCACTGGTATGACTATACAAATGACTCCCAATACAAACGAAAAAATAATATCGAAGAGTTGCAATCTTGATTGTGTTACCATTTTAGATGTAAACGAATGCCTAACCGAATACACATGTCATTTCAATGCCACGTGCAGCAACACAGATGGATCTTACATCTGCGCATGTGATTCTGGATATACTGGAGATGGATTCAAATGCACTGGTAAACTTGTTTTAATAACTTTGGTTTTAATATCTGTAGAAAGCATAGCCTAATTTAAAAGTCGGGTAAATTGTTTTAATTTTGATTCAAGATGTCAATGAATGCCAGACATCTTCCCCATGTCATTCCAATGCTTCGTGCAACAACACAGACGGCTCTTACATGTGTACTTGTGATTCTGGATATACTGGAGATGGATTTACATGCACTGGTAAGTTTACAAGAACTGATCTCATTGTAATCGCTTGGAGATTGATTTCGCGAGTATTTTCATTACTTTGGAAGAATTGGCACATTTACAAAGCGAATGTCTATGTCTGCGTATAACACATTTTTGGTATTTATATATATTTGTTACAGATGTGGATGAATGCGCGCATTCTCCTTGTGGTTCACATTCAAGTTGCAAAAATACTGATGGTTCATACTATTGTTCATGTCACACTGGATATGAAAAGGCCGGCCGGGAGAATTGTACAGGTAAACTCCATGGGTATTTTTTATTTTTTTCACATATTCCACATAACCATTTTATTGTGATTAAAATGTTGCAACAGATCTTGCTTTCATCAGTAATAAATAAAAAACAAACAAACAAACAAACACAAAAACTAAGCGATGCTCTTTTGTCTCATTATTGTTTATGTTTGCAGATAAGAACGAATGTGCAGGGAGCCCGTGCAGTGTGGATGCTAACTGCACAAATACGGATGGTTCATACTTTTGTAAATGCAAAAGTGGATATAAAGGAAATGGGAAAAATTGTACAGGTAAAAATGGGCTTCCTTATTTCTGCGATAATGGAAGGTTGTAGTATTTTTGAAAAAAACGTATTTAATATATATGTATATCATTATACATATCTCACACAAAAAATCTCATAGATCTGGTTATGAATCAATCGGTTGTTAATCGCTTTTTTTCCAAAAATCATTTGGAAATTCAAGCGAAAATAGTAGTTTCTTATTTGCTAAAAATAATTAATTACATCTATACTTAAAATGATAACAAAAATCATTACTACGAAGCTGGTTAGTTAGTTCGGATTCGAAAAATTTTCCTTTTGGAAGATTGGTGTCTACATCTTCCATCTTGAGTTTTTTTGGTGACGTGTTTGCTTCGAAGCGTATCTTACTTACCACTGTTTTTCTATCGATTGAGTATTAAAGCCAAGGTGAGTAGGAATTTCCCTTTGAATATTTTAACGTAAACTTGAGAGCCAAGGTATTGAAGAAATCTATAGTAATGATTATTTTTTATGTTAAACCTGCAGTTGTTTTGTAGGCATTCAAGAAGTGTTAATCGAGCCTTTGTGTGTTGATGATGAAGGTAGCCAAGCAAAGCAACACCACACCCATACAGGGCAATAAAATCACCTCTTTTATAGTATAGCTGGCTGTTGCTAAGACGATTTTTTAATGTGGTTTTAGGTAAAACAATCTTACTATAATATTCTTGTTCGAGTAGCCGTTTCTGTTGGACTCGTAAATGTGGCGCCACAGTTTTCGGGGTGCCGCAGTTGAAGGCATCCTTTCGTGGCAAATTTGAAATCTCCATTCGTCAAATCTTTTATAGTTGTAGATACTACAGTAAGTATAGTCTTTATAGAGGCGTTTTACTTGACGGCAAATTAAGTCAATCTTTTGCTCAAATAAGAGCAGAAATGAAGAAAATTATATTCAAATTTTTATATGTTTAATTGTTTATAGACAAAAGTTTGCTGAATTCAGAAAAGTAGAATTATATAAAATCTAATGTGACTGAGTAAGTTATGATGGCTGAAAGATTCTATTTCCTTGTGAAATAAAAAAGTGAAAGCTAGATAATATTGAATTCAATACAGCCATTCAGGTGTCTTTCTCTTTTATAATTATAGCAGTTAAAAACATTGATTCACGCAATTTTTCAAAACATTGCTTCACGCACTTTGCGTTAATATTTTGTTAAATAACAAGTTTAAAATCACTAATATAATTAAAACAATATTTTTATTGTAATGTAGATTTAGAAAATTATTATTTTTTTGCAAGTGAAAAGTGCAATTTGGAAAGATTTTTCGTTTGGGGGTGAAGATGCACAAAGCTAAGGTTTTAAAAGGTTTGTGCGTTTTAAATAATGACTGCCAAAGTATAAACACAATGACTGCCAAAGAAAATCAGTAGACGAATATAATATATGAATATATTATATTCCCCCACCCTATTTTTAACATTGTCATCAAATTTAATTATCATAATGATCCCTTATAATGCGCCAGTAAAATATATACCAAGGAAGTAAAATTAGTTTGCATGCTGTTGTCGCTTTGATCAGCTGGTTATATTGCTATAAATTTTTCAGTTCACAACAGCGCAGCGTACCTAACCTTAAAGGTCCAGGCTTTGCAAAGGTAAGCTCCTTATCAATCTATTTTATTCGCCTGGAAATAATGATCTAAATTTATTAAATTTAGCTACTGTTCCCTAAGTTCCATAACAAAATAAAAGATAAAAGTTTCTACAGTTTTACTGAATTTGTCAACCAACACGAAACTTCTATTCAACAATAGGAAATACTCTCAGTATCGTAGCCAACCTGAGAATTTACGCTGTGCCAATGTTATTTATGTGTTTAAAGACTTTGAATACAATCAATTCCAAAAAAAGTTCACATAACTATAGTAAAGTAACATTAATTTGTATAGCGAATTAATGTGCACAAAGGTCTGGTAATATGAATCAAACGGTTGTTAATCGCTTGACGATTTACGCTGTGCCAATGTCATTCCTTTTGTTTAAAGACTTTGAATACAATAAATTCCTAAAAAAGTTGATAACTATAGTAAAGTAACTTTAATTTGCATCCTACTTTTTCGCGGCAAATTTATTTAGCAAACTAAACGAATTTCAGTTTTTGCTTTGAGTTGTGGGATTCAATAATCTAATCGGACTAAATCGTCAGTCTGGTTACACCGATGAAAGACCTGCGTGTTTTATCGATTTTTCCTAGGAAGGTCAAATGTATATGTGTGTCCTGTTTTATTTAAGGGACAAACGCACGCAGGCTTACTTGGGTGAACAAAATAAATTAATTTAGCTTTTCATCGTTGTCTTACTCGGAATTCCAAATACAGGAAATAACATGCATTGAAATGTTTGTGCGTGTTAAATGACCAATATAATCTTTCTTTCTGTCACTTTCTCAGGAACTCAGACCTTTTTTGTATGTAGTTGGACTAAGCTACCTACCAATTAATTATAAACGTTTGTCATCTTCATTTTGCAAGAATGAATATACAATTAGTCATGCATGGCATTCATTTAATACTTATTTACTGACGCCGAGGGAGACAGTGAGCGGTCGAGGGTCAAAAAAAACACATTGCTTTCCCTCCCTGATTTTTTATAATATATAGTGTCAAAATAATCTTTTCTGCTTTCCTATTGGACAACAGCAAAAAGTTAATGCAATTTTTCAAAAAAAAACTACGTTTTAGGGGGAAAGCATTGCAACGGGTATCAAGTTTCGTAATTTGCCCGAGGGAAAATTATGAAATTTGATGCCCGCTCGTGTTGATCACGCATAATCATGGACATTTGAAGCCCTCCACGCGTGAACCTCTTGTCCAATAGGAAAGCAGAAAGGATGAATTTTGACACTAGGTATACATATAACAAATTCATTCATTCTGTTCATTGCATACCGTAGTTAACAAAGTGCAATCGGTTCACAATTTTGCATTTCTTTAGCGCTATCAAAGAGAATACTATTGAATAAGTTAAAATAAGTTCATTTTTTCTTCTGAATACGCATTCTGCAATATTTTGACAGCTCATCATACACACCAGGAAGCTGTGAAGAAATAATTTATTTAGAGGCTTAAAGTATACACAAGGTTATTAATTGAGACGATTCGTTTTTACCGTGTGCAAGTTGCTCCCTAAATTTCTTGTCTATAATTGTATTAAGGATTGTAGCTAAGTCATACCAATTTCCGCGTTGTCGTTGAATACGGGCAAAATTCATTGAAATATGTTTAATAATATTTTTTTCCCAAACATACAATGACAGTTTAGTATTTGAATATCAAGTGATTCATGCTTTTTTTCTTTTTCAAGGCGACGATTTTAGTTATAGAGGAAATATAGTAATAAGGAATCTTAGGGCAATTCAGAAACATTGGATCGTGTGTGTGGCCATCTGATCGTTTTTTTTTAAAGAAGTATCGTGATCGTTCTTCATGACGAATCAAAGGTTTTTCGGCCGCCTCCTTTTCACATTGGGTGAGATATGCCAAACTAAATATTATCAGACATGTTATTCGTACATATTGAAAACTACGAGTCGTACGAGACTTTGTTTGCGCGAAATTGTTTTGAAATCATTGACACATCATAGGCTGCCCAAAAATAAGCGTGCGCCATTAATGTTTATCAACTTGTATTATAATATAACATTTATAGTACGCGCGTGCTGATTGGTCGCGAAGCGTGTTTCTATAACTGTATAGAAACAGAAGAATTTTCCCGCCGAACTTCACAAGCGAAGCGATGTAATGAGAATTTGCTATTAAATCGAATTAAAATATATCATGCATGATAAAAATTGAATGTACACACATATTTTTGGTCTTTTGGAACTGGCTTCCGCGTTTGACGTCATTATGAAGAACGTGTATTATATGTATATAGGACATAACTATGTTACAGCAAGTTTCTTAGAATTGAAATATACAGTCGAAATTGTTTGATATTTCGACGAGTGCTCACTTGGGCAAAACATTTAAATACAGGAATGGCATTTTCTCAAGTCACAATTCACAAAACACAAAAAACATTATAATCATTGCTCACGACAATACCATTGCCCCCTCTCCCGTCATATAAGCGATTTAATTCTATTTGACAGTAAGAATTATTATTTCCACGACAACTTAACTCAATTTATAATTCTCAAGATCAAGACATTAAGACAAAAGTCACCAAACATCCTCAACTATATAATACGCACTCGGTATTTGGACTTCATTGAAACTAATAACTTGGTACCATCATTCAAGTTCTATTGAACCTTAGGAATGCTAGCTTGCTGTATTGATGTAGCAGTTGAAAATGAGTGGTTTCGCGATTGGGATTTTGAGGGTAAGAAATATACTATTTGATATTTTGTTGAAATTATGTTTTCTCGATGCAAGTTTATGTAAAAATGCAAGTGAAGCCGTTAGAATATTAAATAGTCTGGCCTTAATTATGTAAAGACCCCTTGTTTTTGAACGGGAGATCAGAAGGGAGAAGAAGCGCTGTGCGAGGGCACTAGCTAATTCCGGCTAGCTAATCAGGAATTATAACCGGGTATGTGACAGAAGATAGCGGAATCCAAATTTGCCCAAATCCTACGTCATGGACATTTGACGTTCAATGGTCATGGTATTTGTACGCATGTGCGAAATTTTAGTGATTAAAGAACGGTGATCTCCAACTTTCATGCTGATTGACTAAAACAAAAAGTTTGTATTTCAATGAGTACGTCAGCATTTTAACTGTCATTTTGCAAACTATATTTTTTAAAAACATGTTTCGTAATTTAATCAAAATTAAATATGGAATGGAATAAAATTATACACTCGCGGTGAAAAAGAACTGCTCAAAACAAGTTAAATTGCTCTCAAATGAACGTAACTGTCCCTCTAACAATATATAGGAGTAAATGTAGACTATAGACTACATGCTAAACTATATGAAATATTGATATTTTGTTGACCCTCCTTTGGCCTTATAATTGATGACGGCCTTACACCGGCGTGGCATACTTTCTGTTAAGGTGGTAATCTTAATGGTCAAAAGAAATTCATCCTATGGACAGTCTTTACAGCAATGCATAAATCATGGACGCAACATTTAAGCAGTCCATCCCCATTAGGTAAGATATCATATACAGAAATATATAAAAAAATGTTGAAGAAATGCAAAAAAAAAATATTGCGACGTCGAAACTGCGTAGTTTGTTTGTTTCCTTTCGTCCATATAGTTTATCTTACGTTTATCTTCATGAAGATCTTTCAATAGGCTATTTTCGTTTGAATAATCTTTCCAGATTTATGTGGAGAAAGTCAACTGTATCCTCCAGGTAATCTCACAAGCCCTCTTTATCCCCTTTCATACCCTGACAACATGGATTGCAATTGGACTGTTTCCAGCACCAATGGAAGAAATATTTTAATACAGTTTTCAGTTTTCTCGGTAGGTTACCTTATTTGTTTTAGATATCGATGCCCCATGTTTGAGCGAAAAACACTTTTCCAAGATGTAACGTACAGTTTATAAGTTTTCTGGTGAGAAACTACAGTTTGTCTTCATCAATGATAGCTACTGTAGTGAAAAATGCCATCGTTTAAATGTAGATGGAATATGTGTAGTGGGGATTATTTGTTTATTCGTATGTGAAAATCGCCTGGTATTGACATCCGAAGCGAGAAGATTTTAACTTAAGGTCGTTCACCGGGGCAATCCTCAAGCCAGAAATTAAAGATCCATCACAAACAGTCCGTTTAACCATCAGTGAAATTATCAACTATTATTATTTATTTAAAAGTATTAAATTATTTACCTAAACCTAACGTAATTTTGTGATCGCTTTGACCGTTTTTTTTTGTGGAACCGGCGTTTTTACAAATAGTTTGCGAACAGTTCTAATAGAATTGCTATAACGTTCTGTCACTGAATGACTTTGTAAGTCAAGGGTGGGTAAGAAACAAAAATGAATGAAAGTTCCATACATCAGATGGCTTGTTTAAATATTGCTCTTTCTCTTCGAGTCTTCGTCGTTTGTTGTCGTGTCTGTTCTTGTCTTGTTGAGTTTCTCAACATTTCATATGACTTTACCTCGTTGCCTATGGCGTCATGGCAACGGCTAATCTGTTAGTAAACTTATTGTGACTTGATAATTGGGATAACATAAAAAGGTTTTTTCTTTGTCTCTGAAGATTTTGTACTGTCTTAATGTTTTGAAGCTGCAATTTTAAACAATTACTTAAATATTCTTGCCATGGCTTAATGCAGCAAAATTTGAATCTCGAATTGAACGGCCAATACACTAGCTTTACGATTATTTTTGTAACGAATGATGGAAACATTAGCTATAATATACTCCATAAATTATATTATACTCCACACTATAATATAATATGGACTGATTTGAGTTTTGAGTCATTTCATAATATAAGTTTAGGACAGGTTAACTCAGAAAATTGTGTATTTGGTTTGAAATAGCGGAGGTGTTGCTGCATGCATATATTTCTAGTACATTATTAACCTTTTGTCTTGAAAGGATTTCAAACCCAGTTTTTAATCAATTATTCGCATTATTGACGAATGATTTACACAAATCTCATCACGTTTTAGTTGGAAGATCATCCTAGTTGCTTTTTTGACTATTTGGACGTTTATGATGGAGATTCAACAAAAACGACCCAACTGGGCAGATTCTGTGGAAACCAATTACCAAGAAATCTGGTATCATCTGGATTCAAATTGTTCATCATATTTCACTCGGATATTAATGTGCCAGCACCGGGATTTGTTTTGAACTATTCAACCCCATTAGGTAAGATATCATTATTATTTTAAAATAATACAGTAAACAGAAAAGTTAAATTGGTAAAATTTCCATTTCAGATGTTGAGGAATGCCAAACATCTTCCCCCTGTCATTCCAATGCTATGTGCAATAACACAGACGGATCTTATATCTGTACATGTAATTTTGGGTATAGCGGAAATGGGTTTAACTGCACAGGTAAGACAACTTAAAAAATTTAATTTAGTATAATTATATTATTTTAATTGCACAAGTAAGACAGCGTAAATATTTAACTCCTATACCTTTCGAATGGATTCAATGAAAGTAAAAAAGTTTGCTGAAACTACCATTTTAGATATTGACGAATGCCAAACATCTTCTCCTTGTCACACTCACGCAACCTGCAATAACACAGATGGTTCTTATATCTGCACCTGTGATTCTGGATATAGTGGAAATGGATTTAACTGCGCAGGTAAGACAATGTAAATAATTTTTATCAGATATTTAAAAATAACACAGTAAGCAGAAAATCAATTCCGTAAATTATCATTGCAGATGTTGACGAATGCCAAATAGGGCTATCTTCCCCATGTCATTTCAACGCAACCTGCAATAACACAGACGGATCTTATATATGCACATGTAATTCTGGGTATAGCGGAGATGGATTTAACTGCACAGGTAAGATAACATAAATAATTCAATTTGACATATATTATTTTAACTGTGCATGTAAGACAAGTTAAATAATTTAATTTACTATATATTTCGAATACATTCAGTGAATGTAAAAAGAGTTTGCTGAAACTACTTTTCAGACATTGAAGAATGCCAAACATTTTCCCCGTGTCACTCTAATGCATCCTGCAATAACACAGATGGATCTTATATCTGCAAATGTGATTCTGGATACAGTGGAGATGGATTTAATTGCACAGGTTGGACAACATTTTTACCAGATATAAGAATAGCAAAGAAAAAAGAAAAATCAAAGTACTACACTACAATTTTAGATGTTGAGGAATGCCAAACATACTATCCATGTCATTCCAATGCTACGTGCAATAACACAGATGGGTCTTATATCTGCACATGTGATTCTGGATATACTGGAGATGGAATAAACTGCACAGGTATCGTAAATCAACGTAAATACTTTAAATCATTAAGTATTATGAAAGAAATCAATGAACCATGTTTACACGGACATTTCAGATGTTGACGAATGCCAAATATCTTCCCCCTGTCATTCCAACGCTATGTGCAATAACACAGATGGATCTTATATCTGCCCATGTAATTCTGGATATACTGGAGATGGATTTTACTGCACAGGTAAAGAAACGTAAACAATTTAATTTACTATATTTTTCGAAGGCACTCAGTGAAAGTATAAAATAAATTGCTCAAATTACCATTTCAGATTTTGGCGAATGTCAAACATCTTTCCCTTGTCATCTTAACGCATCCTGCAATAACACAGATGGATCTTATATCTGCACATGCGATTCTGGATATACTGGAGATGGACGTAACTGCTCGGGTAGGACAACGTAAATAATTATTAGCTGATTTTTAAAAATAATACGGTACACAGAAAAATCAAATTGTTAGAATTACTATTTTAGATGTTGACGAGTGCCAAATATCTTCCCCCTGTCATTTAAACGCTACGTGTAATAACATGGACGGGTCTTATATCTGCACATGTAATTCTGGGTATAGCAGACGTGGATTTAACTGCACTGGTGAGACAATTAAAACAGTTTTTAATTTAGCTAATATATGTTTCTTTAACTGCTATTATTATATGTCGAATGCATCCAGTGACAGTATAAAACGCGTGCGGAAACTATACCATTTCAGATATTGACGAATGCCAAACATTTCCCTCTTGTCACCCTAACGCAACCTGCAATAACACAGGTGGATCTTATATCTGCACATGTGATTCTGGTTATATTGGAGATGGATTTAACTGCACAGGTAGGACAACGTAAATACTTTTACCCGATATTTGAAAATCACAAACCAAAAAGAAAATTTTAATTCCGAATGTACAATTTCAGATGTTGACGAATGTCAAACATCTTCCCCATGCCATTCCAATGCTATGTGCAATAACACAGTTGGATCTTATATTTGCACATGTGATTCTGGATATACAGGAGATGGAATAAACTGCACAGGTAAGACAACGGAAATAATTTTTAACCATGCAGATATGTAAACATAAGCTAGAGTAAACCGAAAAATCAAATTGGTTAAATTACCATTTCAGATGTTAACGAATGCCTAAAATCTCCCCCATGTCATTCCAATGCTACATGCAATAACACAGATGGATCTTATATTTGCACATGTGATTATGGATATACTGGAGATGGATTTAACTGCGCTGGTAAGACAAAATAATATCATTTACTATATATTATTTTGAATGCATTCAGTGAAAATATAAAAAAGTTTCCTGAGACAACCATTTCAAATATTGGCTTCTGTGAAACATCTTCGCAAACAATTTTTTAGCAGATATTTAGATATAACGCTGTAAACAGAAAAATAAAATGGGTAAAATTTCAATTTCAGATGTTGACGAATGCCAAACATTTTCTTCCTGTCATTCCAACGCTATGTGCAATAACACGGGCGGATCTTATATCTGCACATGTAATTCTGGATATACCGGGGATGGGTTTTACTGCACAGGTAGGAAAACGTAAACGATTTAATTCACTATATATTTCTCTATCTGCACAAGTAAAATAACGTTAACCATTTAATTCAGTATATACTTCGAATGCATTTGGTGAAAGTAAAAAAAGCGTGTTGAAACTACCATTCCAGATATAGACGAATGCCAAAAATTTCGCTCTTGTCACCCTAACGGAACCTGCAATAACACAGATGGAACTTATGTCTGCACATGTAATACTGGATATAATGGAGATGGATTTAACTGCACAGGTAGGGCAACGTAAATAATTTTTTACCCGATATTTGAAAATAACTAAGCAAAATTAAATTGCTAATCTACCATTTCAGATGTTGACGAATGCCAAATATCCTCTCCATGTAATTCCAATGCTACGTGCAATAACACAGATGGATCCTATATTTGCACATGTGATTCTGGATATACTGGAGATGGATTTAACTGCACAGGTAAGACAACGTGGTTAATTTTTATGAGATATTTCAAAATAACAAAGTAAAAAGAAATCAAATGACTATTCTACCATTTTAGATTTTGACGAATGTGTAACATCTCCCCCATGTCATTCCAATGCTACGTGCAATAACACAGATGGATCTTATATCTGCACATGTAATTCTGGATATACTGGAGATGTATTCAATTGCACAGGTATCGTAAATCAACGTAAATACTTTAAATCATTAAGTATTATGAAATAAATCGGTGAACCATCAGTAGCGTAGCCAGCCTGACGATTTGTCCCGCTATGCTAATATTTTGGTGTTCATTGACTGTGAAAACAATAAGTTTCTAAAGAAATGAATAGTTATAATAACTCGAAATTTATATAGCGGGACAAAATTGTCAGGCTGGCTACGCCACTGTGAACCATGTTTACTCGAACGGACATTTTAGATGTTGACGAATGCCAAATATCTTCCTCCTGTCATTCCAACGCTATGTGCAATAACACAGATGGATCTTATATCTGCACATGTAATTCTGGATATACTGGGGATGGATTTAATTGCACAGGTAAGACAACGGAAATAATTCAATTTACTATATATTTCGAACTCATTCAGTGAAGGCATAAAAAAATTGGTAAAATTACTATTTCAGATTTTGACGAATGCCAAACATCTTCGCGTTGTCATCCTAACGCAACCTGCAATAACACAGACGGATCATATATCTGCACATGTGATTCTGGATATAGTGGAGATGGATTTAACTGCACGGGTAAGACAACGTAAATAATTTATATCACATATTTCAAAATAACACAGTAAAAATAAATCAAATTGCTAATCTACCATTTCAGATGTTGACGAATGCCAAACATCCTCTCCATGTCATTTTAATGCTACGTGCAATAACACAGATGGATCTTATATTTGCACATGTGATTCTGGATATCATGGAGATGGATTTAACTGCACAGGTAAGAGATGCTAATTAATATTGATTTAGTAAATCTTTTGAAAACGACCAGTGAAAGTTCAAGCATGTTTACTCGAACGGATATTTTAGATGTTGACGAATGCCATATATCTTCTCCATGTCATTCCAATGCTACGTGCAATAACACAGATGGATCTTATATTTGCACATGTGATTCTGGATATAGTGGAGATGGATTTGACTGCAGAGGTAAGACAAAGTAAAATCAAGTTAGTTTTATGATGATATATAAACGAGTGCTAATCAGAATCCTGTCAATTGCATTGCTACATAACACGGAGAATTCTTAATTGATTTGCATGTAGGATTCTGTATATAGTGGAAATTGTTTTTCTTGTACTGGTTAGATGACGTAAATTATTAGGATTTCCAACCCATTAAGAGGCACCTGGTATTTTTAAGTGAAAGAAATAAAAGCATGAAAACTTTTATTTCAAATCTAAATTAATGTAAGATATTTCCCGTACTACTCGAGTGCTTCGTGAAGTATAACACGAATGGGTCTTATATCTTCTGCATGCATGTGATTATTTATATACTGGAGATGGATTCGACTGCAGTGCTAAGCATATGAGTAATTTTATATTTTAAAATTGACTTGGAAGCAAAAATAAATAAAACAGTCACTTTCGATGTAATCGAAAGCTGGCAAGAAGAGTTATTATGTCATTTATTTGCCATGTCATGCGATTGCACGATATTAAAAATCTACATGCTTGCGTGTTTATGAATATAGTGCAGAAGGGTTAACCTGCAGTGATATACACGTCATACATCATTATAATTTTATTAACCTTTTAGATATCAACGAATGCCAAAGGGATTCTCCGTGTCATTCCAATGCGACATGCAATAACACGGGCGGATCTTATACCTGCGAATGCGATTCAGGGTATAGTGGAGATGGATTCAACTGCACTGGTATAAACGACAAGTTCATTTATTCTGAAATTCAAAAGCGAATGAATGACAGTAAATAGTTGGAGGAAATAAATTATTTTATAGTTTTCCCACGATGTCTAGAAATTTGATACAAACACCGGTTGTTGTATTATTATGCGCGGGGGCATGCGAGAATGACGTAATCCTGCGAATTTAGGATGACGGCTAAATTTCGTTTAATTAAGAAAAAAGTAATTTTCCAGAATACCACTGAATTGCAAAGGGTATTAAATCAAATACATAATAGGAAATAAAGTGTTAAATGTTTTATATATGATTATGCCTCTTTTACCTATTATCTGGCGGGCTTTAATATCCTCAATTATAGAGTACCTTTCCGCCTGGTGTTTCTATTGCTGATAGATACACTTTTCACTTTTCATACACTTTTCTATTGCTGATAGATACACTTTTAAATTTGCGAGGAGTACTCTGTCTACAACCCAGTATATTAATGAAGACTGTTACATCTTAGATATCAACGAGTGCCAAAAAGTTTTCCCATGTCCATCTAATATGATGTGCAATAACACGGACGGATCTTACATCTGCACATGTGACTCTGGATATAGTGAAGATGGGTTTATCTGCATTGGTAAGACATATGCAGTAGCTACAACACATATATTTAGGGTTTCCTGAAGTAGCATTGCAAACATATTGCAATTCAATGTCAATCAACCATCATATAGAAAGATCTAGCAAACAGTCTATGGTTTCGAAGTCTATGGTTACGATGGCCTGACGATTTGCTACATAATATGTTGTTTATATCTTTACATAGTCCCTGTTTATATAGATCCTGCTATATCATAATCGTTTATATCATATAAAAATTGTTTTTAGATTAAATAAATTCCAAATATTAGCAAGGCGAGACAAATTCGTCAACAGACCTTTCTTATAATGACGTCAAACGCGGGAAGTCTGATGTTACATGAAGTTATATTAACTCGATAGTTTTGTGGAGCCAATCAAATTTCGTTTAACATCAGACTTTCCGCGTTTGACGTCATTATAAGAAACGTCTATTAAGTTGGCCACGCTATAGCCTGGTTTGCGTCACTCGCAGACAGTCGGCGATCTCTATTGCCCTTTGATAGCTACCAATGCATAAAATTCTTTGCCCGCGTAAAAAACATTTTCTACTTCATTGGTCATCGTCAATGGATCGCAGAGCACCGTCGACTAGCCGTCTGCGAGTGATGAACCTGGTTCTGGTACATCGCATAACATAAATAATTTAGGACTTAAATTGGCTTGCAAATTTTTGAAAAATTTGGTCGAAGTCGAACCCGCTAGCTTTGGTTTGCTAGTGCAATGCTCTTCCAACGTTTTACGTTTGGAATATATGCGATATTTCGGAATTTGCAATAATTGATAAATATCAAATATTTAAACCGCCTGGATTTTGCACCAAAGTTACAAGTATTCGGATATAGATTTTACCCGACATTCATATTATGCCTCCTGAAACAACATATTTGATATTTTATTCGCACATGTGATTCTGGATTTGTATGTATAATGGATGGTCAGCCTTATCTTCTCTCAGACGGATAAATAGATAATAGAAGCATTGAAAAATATACCATATTATAAATCGACCTTTTTAGATGTGAATGAATGTGAAATATCTGCTCCATGTCATTCAAATGCAACGTGCAATAACACAGAAGGATCATACATCTGCAAATGTAATCCAGGGTATAGTGGAGATGGATTCACCTGCATTGGTAAGACAATTTAAGCTATTTTAGTATATCAATATTAAAATAAAGTTAATGAGGAAACGTTCATATCAAGGTGTGTCTTCGGCTTTGGCAAAAAACGTATGTTTGCGGGCGGCATGTCAGACATGCGTCAAACCGGCGCTCCAATGCATTAGTAGATGCAATATGGCATCACACGCGAACATCGTTTGACCTGCTCAATCCAACCAATTAAACTCCTTTTCCATTTGGCGCGAAAAAACAACCAATAACATTTCAGAGGGTCACGCATAAGCAGCATGCACAAGCTCAATCTTCTCACTTGGCAAATCGCTCTGCTCAAAGACACAGTTCGCAAAATTAAAAGGTATTATTTACGTCAAATCGGAAAAAAAAAACCACCCACCCTCCCACCACTCAAACATAACAGGGGCATTTGGCACGTAACGTCTTTTGGCCGTCACGATACCTGTCTATTGACTATTGCCTCTGTACAGTTTATCAGGCTACAGATCTCATAACATGCTTAAGACTAACGTTATTCAACTTAACTTTCCTTCGTGCTGTGTTGGCTGACATATCGCTTATAGTATAGACCGTCTACAACCATTATCTGTCATCTATAGAGACGAGTTAATAACGCGACGATATAGTGACTCCTTCACTTATATAGTCTAAAATTAATATATGTCATAACGTTGCTTTAGTAATCGTATCAATAAAAATAAATGTTCGGGCTAGGGAGGAAGCGCTCCCGATTGTCACGTTCAAGTCCATAGTAATCATAGATCAGTCGAATCGTATACTGTCCAACTAGCGTGTGCGGTTGGTCAGGTTGATGTCTTAGAGGCTAGCTACCTCTTTCATGGTATGTAGCGTGTGCGCATACATGACATCATGCGCTGGTGCGCAGTTGCAGAGTCCTAATGGGGAGAATATAAACCCCAGGACAACGATTTAAAGGCCATTTAAGAACGAGTCTTTGGGATGAAAGAATGACCACAAAGAATTACATCCTATAGGAGTGCTTCCCCCAAACCCCTTCTCCCACAAAAAACGTGTGTGTATGTGTATTGTTTTGCGCAGAAAACCCGCTTGCTAGTAATCATTAGAACGGCTTCGATCATTAATATAATAACTACAGTGAAACACGCAATTTGATTGGTCAATGGCCGTGCCGGATAAGGCAATCCTGCACGAGGAATTTAAAAGAACCCGCGGGATTCTTAAAATACCGTTGTTTCAATTTACGCTTTCCAAAAGTCTCGCAACATCCTTCGTACATGGATCACGCAATCCTGCACGGAAAACCATTTGGTAATCCTTTATCAAATAATTATTAATTATTGGACGAGGTCGAACAAAATATCGTTATTTGTCGCAGGCGAACAGATCCAATTATTTGTCGATGCAAAAGGCAGAGGCAAATAATTGATTTGCCAGCCACCGACAAATCACTATAATTATTTCGCAAGAACCAAGTTCTGTAATTGTTTTATCATTCACTTATCTTATTATTTTTTGGTATTTTCGGCGTTTTTTCTTCGAGTAAGCAATACAACTAATGGTCTGAAATTTCAGGAAAGCGAGTTGCCACTCTTGTTTACAAATTTGAAGCCAATGCGCATGCTCAGAGTTTATTTGCAGCTGAGCAACGTTTTCAGCAAATCGCATGCCCAGAGTATTATGTGCACGCAGTTAACTGCAGGTAAATTAACCAATAAAAATTGAGAATACGATAAAGTGAATGATAATATTATGGCATTTTTGTATGTGCAATGCATGCAGTGATGAAGTGATAAATTTTTAATTTACTATCAATTTCAGATGTTGACGAATGCCAAACAGATTCCTTTTGTGATTCTAATGCAACATGTAATAACACATACGGGTCCTACATCTGCATATGCAATATTGGGTATACCGGAAATGGGTATTTCTGCATTGGTAGGATTGCTCAAGAAATTTTTTCATTTAAAATTGCAAGGAAGTATCTATAAAAATAAAGAAACTTTAAAACTATATTTTTAGATGTGGACGAATGCCAGACAGAATCTCCTTGCCATTTTAATGCCAGATGCCATAATGCAGATTCCTCTTACATTTGCACGTGTAAATCGGGATATAATGGAAACGGATTTTCTTGTACTGGTATGACTATACAAATAATTTAATTTTTCGAATGCCTCAACCGAAAAGAAAGAAGTTTTGATAATGTTACTATTTCAGATGTTGACGAATGCCTAACATCTCCCCCATGTCATTCTAATGCTACTTGCAATAATACAGATGGATCTTATATTTGCCGTTGTAATTCTGGATATACTGGAGATGAATCTAATTGCACAGGTAAGCTGATATAGCGTTTGATATCAACCTACGATAATCATGATAATAAGGATTAATTATGATATCAAACTATAATTTCAGATGTAAATGAATGTGAATCCGATTCTCCATGTCATTCCAATGCGACATGCAACAACACGAAAGGATCTTATGTGTGTACTTGTGATTCTGGATATAGTGGAGATGAATTTACGTGCATTGGTAATATTACAAAAATGATCTAGGCCTCAAATTAGTGGGATATAATTATGCAATAGGAAAATTAATATAAAAACTATCATTTCAGATATAAATGAGTGCCAAGGAGACTCTCCGTGTGATTTAAATGCTACATGCATAAACACGAATGGATCTTATATATGTGCATGTATTTCTGGATATGACGGAGATGGATTTACCTGCACTGGTAGGATCAAAGAAAACAATTTTAGCTTTCAAGGCGATGTATAATTATTAGCAAAAAAATCACAGATATTCATTTTAGATGTTGACGAATGCAGCAGAGATTATCCGTGCCATTCCAATGCTGCGTGCAACAACACTGTCGGATCGTTCATCTGCACTTGTAATTCTGGATACAGAGGAGATGGAATTTTCTGCAATGGTAAAATCGGTTAATTGTCAGTATTGTCACTATTGTGTTGTATCCAACATGCTGAACTTTATCGTAATAAAGAAAGTTGTACAGACTATATATGTGTAGCTATTTCTATATTTAAAAAGCTTTTGGGCAAAGGTTGTTTGCTGTTTCTGTTCGAGTATGGGTTTGACTTTGTTGTTGGAAACGTCCATACGTGAGGATTTTTTTGGAAAGTTTGATGTAAGATTTCACTTAAATGGGGAAAATATTACTGGAGAGCAAAATCTGATTGCTCGCACAAAGCCAATTTTTGAATCTTGGGTAATAAATATATACACAAAAAAGCGCTGTAGCGTGTTGGTATACGAAGGGTTTTCTTCCTAAACAAATATCCCAATAAGAGCCTTTATTTAAGCGCGCACCCAATGTTGAGTTATTATATCCGACTGAACACCAGGCATTAATTATAGCTATTCAGATACCTAACATTTAACCTGTTTCAATAAATATTAATTCCTCCCTAACTTTGCTCGATTTGATTTTGTTTTACATTGCAGATATCGATGAATGCGTTTTCAGCCCTTGCGATGTGAATGCCAACTGCACAAACACAATTGGTTCGCACCTGTGTGCTTGTCACACCGGTTATGCGAAAAATGGGACAAGATGTACAGGTAAAACCTAGAATAATTTTTTGATTGCACGTTTTCAGTTGGGAATTCCAATGTTCGTCAAGTGTATCAGTGTCAAAAGGCTTATTATTCTTTACTTCAACAGATGTCAATGAATGCAAAGATGTTCGGTGTGGTTTGAATGCAAACTGCAGTAACACTGTTGGTTCATATCTTTGTGAATGTAAAACCGGATATGAAGGAAATGGAACCAATTGCACAGGTCTGACTTTCACCTCTCAATTAGGAAAAAGTGAAGTTGTACAGGTTGCAGTGTACTTAATATAAAGTAGTGAGCCGCCATTCTTGTATATTGCTCATTTTACAGATGTGAATGACTGTTTGAAAGCTCCATGTGGCTTCAATTCAATCTGTATAAACAATAAAGGATCGTACCTTTGCGTATGTCAAACTGGATATAAAAGAAATAGTGCGGAAACTACGAATTGTGCAGGTAAAACTATGCACTTTCCTTTTTGAGAGTTTTCAGAAGAAGATTCTTTGTTTCCACACACCATGTTCCTCACACTATGTTTTTA